AAGAATCTAATGCACCAGAAATGTGCTTCTACTGTGGATCAGAGAGTAGCAAAGAACATACAGCATTCCATGGAAAGAATGAATTGAAAAATTTTGGGGGTTTAGAGGCAATTCATGCCAAGTTCGCATACCCTGAAAGTAGGAGTTCTGTATCATCCCTGATCAACTGGAAAAACAACAAAAAGGTTATACACTAAGGATTTTTAACCTTAAAAAATCTACTTTTGAGTTTTGGCAAAGGAAATCTATCAAGCGCTCCATTTCTCTTTCGCACTAAAACTTTTTTCTTGTGTCAAGGATAAGTGAAAGTTGTGTGTGGTTAACTATCCTTTTCATCGGCTGATTGTGCAATGTCTTCATCCTTTTTTGTTTGCTGCAGTAGCACATTACGAAAGTAGCTCATAACTCTTGCTTTTTAGTTTTTGCAAAGCTGTATTTCTGCTAAATAGAAGACATTATGACTGCTGAAACTATTTATAGCATTCTGCTGCGTATCATAAATCTCAGGAAATTTTGAAATGCTCAATCGAAAAAATAACAGTAACTTAGTAAAAATGTGTAAACAATTGGCAAGTATCAAAACACTAATATAAAAGCAGTATAGTAACTGGTATTACTATTAAAGAGAACAACCAGAAACAAATGCTTTAAATCATGGTTGTTAATGTCTGTTCTTTGAGAATCATACCGTTTTCATTTATCTGAAATACATACAAATTATGTCCCCCAAAAGATTATCATCTGCTGTCCAGCAGCGCTCTTGATAGCTCTTAGATCCAAGAATCCATTTGTTTTTCATCACAACTGATGACCTGAACAGCTGTGATTTTCAGGCTTTGGTATATTCACTTGACTTTGGTTAACTGAAAATACGAGTTGTTTTCTTTTCCTCATTATCTGGAAAGAACAATTCACTTGATGGTCTTACGAACCAGAAATCTCTGCCCTGGCTGAGGTCATTCATATCCAAGACTCCCTGGTATTCCTTGGTTCAGGTTCTAACACAGGTACTCAAAGATGCCTCAAAACTTTGATCTGGCACTGGCAGTTTACATCCAGTTCTTACATTAGCAAAGAAAAAAGTATAAACTCAAGGCTTATCTGTGTCCAAACCCGCACTGTCTTAGCTGAACTGAAATTAAAGGGACATTTATAGTGCTGTTGTCTCACTTCAGAGATTACAGAGAGCTTACTCTGGTTGCATGTCAGAAAGACAGGGCTGCAAGCAAAGCCTCACTGTCAAAGGTTTGGTGGCTGTACGACGGCCGAGGAACTGAGCCGGAGGCACACCCTGCAACGTGCACAGATTGAACAAGGTCCTCGCCAAGGGCCACCAAGTACAGAGTCCAGCATGGGCCAAACAAACAAGCCCTTTAGCTTCCAGCACGCAGTGGCTAAGTCAGGATTTCTGGAACCTCAAGGAGGCAAGAAAGTTGTGGGTTCAGTTTGGAATATCCCAAACGATTGGCCCAGGCTTCTGCAAATCTGCTTAACTTCCATTAAGCCAGTCAAATTACTTCTTTTATACTTCCCTCTTTTGTGTAGATGTGTTCCAAGCAACTTCAGTATGAACAGACCCCTGGAAAGGCTGAACTGAGTACATACTTGGGACTCTACACACGCCTGCTAATCTGGGGAAAGACATTCAGGACCAGGATTGTTGGTAGAGCTTTACTGGCTTTTAAAGAGCCGAGGCACATTTTCACAACCCCCTTGTCTACATTCATCCATATTAGTAACAACTGACTTGAGGGTGCTGCTACCAGTCCTTGAAACTGGCCATGCAACCGCTTATTTCTAAGAGTTCTAAGAAATCGTGAAAGCAGTTACTTTAACGTTTTAAAAAATGTCCATAGTGAAGAAGACTCATTTCCCGGTGTTTAAGGTTTAAGAGTTAATTTACGTAGTTAAAATTTGAGTAATAAAAGAAAATTACTCTACAATATATACTGAGCCAATTCACATTTATTAATGGATGTATAGGTATGATGGCCCGTAGGACAACCTCCTGTCTTTTTTGATGCCACTGGCTTTGTGGTTAGGTCAGATTTTAGAGAAAGTGATTGGAAATAGAAACAGTAATGTAAAGCTAAATTCTTACTGTGATTTTTGAAGAGTAGTATATTCCAGGAAAACAGTTGGCCTGGTTAATGAATTAAGAAAAATATGGTGCGTATGAGCTGGAAATACATGTAAACATAAAACAAGAGGGTCTGTCATGCTTTCTTCACACATTCACCATTCTCACTAGTTCTCTGTATCTGGAGAGGTTACTTTCAGTGACAGTAACTCCGTTGTCAGCTCTAAGACACCAGTTAAAAATCCCCGAAAGTCATGTAAGTGCAGTACGAGCAAGCTGTTCGTGGGTAACTGGGTAGCTGCTATGAAATCACGAGACTGAAAAAATCCCCCGACTCTGAAACAAGGTGACATTAATGGAAGATGTGCAGGAAAAGGGAAGGAAGAAGATTGAATTCCCACGGCTATTTAGTGAATCAGGGGTTCAACCCGGACGTTGCCCAAGCAAAACTGAATGTGACCCAACTGACAAAACACCAGTTTCCACCACCCTATTAAATTACCAGCTATGATGGTCAACTCTTGTATTTAATACTTACTAAGGATGTGATGGAAAGCTAAAGAATTCTAAGTTGTTTGATGGTAAATCCAACTTGTTTCTAAGGACAAAATACAGTATATCCTCTGTGGGATATTAATTAGATGCAAAAGAATGAAAACATGATATTCAGTTTAGAAATCTTACGGGTACAGACTGTTATTTCAAGCAGAGGCCTCAAATCTTTAAGAATATGTTAAATATATATGCCTCTAATTTTCTTCTCCAAGAAAGAAAAAAAACAAACGCTAATACAATTTGTATAACATGCTGTGCTTTCCCACCTGAAATATTGTGGCAAGATGTTTCAAAAGAAGTCTCATTTTCAGATCATGGACTTTCTCTAAGCGCTATAGTTTCTGAGAGCCGGGTCTGAAATAGGCATTACCTTTTCAGCATTTAAATGGCATAGGGCTAAATGCTCTGCCCTCTGAGCCCGTTCCGTACTAGCTGGTACCCACTCTGTATTAAGTCCAGAAGGTAACAAGAAGCACACAAGAAAAAATACAAACAGTGGTACGTACGCGCCAGTCAGCCCATGTGTGCAGCAAATGCCTTGAGACTGAGAACGGTCAGAAAACGGAGTGTAAGTCCTTCGACCCACCTCAGGGTTGCAGTGCCTTATTAAATACTTGATTAGGAGTAGTACTTGATTACTTACAAGTATTTTACTTCTTGATTACTTACTACTTATTTACTTTGATTACTTATGGACTTACTTGATTACTTATTGCAAGTAAGTTTACTGGCACAATGGTAACTTTTGCAGTGATGTCGAGAAGTGGAGGGAGTCTCGCTTTTCAGCGGAGTGTCCACCCTGCAGAGGGATTTACATTAACTCCTGTGGTCAGCTCCTGAGATGATCATTCCCTTACATAAACAAATAGCTTGTAGTACAAGCATGCATTAAGATTCCTGAGAAAAATGTACATTACTATATCCTTATAGTTTTTCACTTGAGAAAATCCAGCATAATCCCAACCCCCCCTCCTTTATTTAGTGGAATAGCACACTAAAAGACACAGCAATATAATTCTGGCAGACTTTGTGTATTTTCAGAGTTCTCTCATCATGGTCACAAGAAGTGTTCTCTGTAAGCTAAATTTTGGGTACAGCTTCCAAGATTATCTGATTAGAACATGCCTTTTTTTAGAAGATGAGCTTTTCTGAAAGCAATCTTCCTGTTTTGATTATTATTAGATTTGGCTCTTCAAACATCCACATCTTCCTCAACTTTTTTCCTCCTCATTGCAGCTGATTGCTCTGTACCTGCCCCTCACCTCCCCCAAAAAATCTCATTCATGATGCTCTGCTGCTAGTCCACTAAATTGTCTTTGAGAATTTTCATCTTGGTAGGCAGCTTCTTTTCCACTGCCAACAAGGACATCAGGAACGCTTGTATGCTGTCAACTTCATCGTGGTTTTTGCACACCTGTAGCCAAAATCCCCAAATAAGCACGATGCTGTGAGATAAAACAGCACAGGTCAGAGTATGAGAATCCCTAAGGAAGACCATTACATTTTGGTTGAGACAGAGCAGGCAATGCAAACATTGGGAAATACTCTTCAGCAGTTTTGCCAGTGTAGCTCTCTCCTTACAGGTAATCGTAAAGCAATGTTTCATGGGTCGGGATCTCGTGTCCATAAACAGAGCAGTTTTTGTCCTGACACGCACAAATTGAGAAATAAGGCTAAATACGCAAAACTTGATATTAACAGTCAAGCTATTGTTCAAACTTTTACTAAAGTTTGTCAGGTTTAACCTTCTGCAGGCAAATGCAGCTGTTTTACATATCTGCAGTTTCATTGAATCATTTTCTTCCAAAATGACTGAAGAGACCCAGTGTAAGCAAGTCATAATCGGTCTAAAAATACTGCTAGTACCATGAAACAGTTTTGAAAAACAGTTAAGTATGCTCACTTACGTGTTTGGCTAGGTTCCTCAGTCCTTTTTCCCTGAACAGTTCAGTACTGCCCCAGGTATTACTAACCAAACATGACAGTTTGAGGGTCCCAGCATATCCCTTTCAGACAAAACAAAGTCAGAGGTGAGTTCTACAGGTAACTTTTAATTCAAGTTTTGAAAATTTGAGGAGCTTCTGATATTTTTCCCTTCCCAACATATGTGATTGTATTTATTTACATATATTTTTACCTTTTGTTACACATTTGTATTAGTTATTGCCAGTTACCCTTTTCATTCTTAAAAAACAGCACAAATGGTTTATTGCCACGACACCTCACAATAACCTCACTTGCCATTTATGCAAAATTTTTTTTAAATTAAGCCTAAATATTTTTTTCTTAATCTTCTGGCAAGTCAGAATTGTCTTCACATTTATTAATAGCTGTGCCTCGCAGAACACACCAAAGGTGCCAATACTCGTGACTAATCTAGATGAAGTTCAAGTTAGCTGACAGGAGAGAATTTTCTTCAGTTCTTCATTCAACTCTTACTCATCCCAGGTATCTCCATATTTATTTACTTTAACTAAAGAAAAGAAGGAAAAAATAGTCACATATTACTTAATTTAATTGCAGATTTTATCTTACACAGTTCCAAAAAGCACGATGAAATGCATTACCATTTGAAGTGGTGAGTGCCAAGAGAATCAGTCACAGCACAACAGACATCTAATTAAAGTCACTTTTGAATAAGTGAGGAGAAGAGTTTGTTAATCATTATTCTTCAGTGAATTAGTATTCAGTCAAGAGGCCTACTGTA